ATATAATAATATTTTAAAATTATAAATTTATAATATCACAAAACATATATTTATATCACTTTCATTTTTGGTATGTGCTAGGTAGTTTTTATTTTTTTTTCCTTATAAAAGTTTGGGCTTTTGGTGCTAAGAGTGTAATTTAATGCGACTTTATTTACATTAGTTTGTATTAAAAAATTATTATAATTGATATTAATTTCACCACTTATATTTTTTCAATGTTAATTAATATAGAAATGTACCTTAATTGTACTTTAAACCTAAGTACTTATTAGAAAAACTTTAATAACTTTTTTTTTAATTTTAGGTTAAATAATGATAATGAGACCAAAATTTAAAATTAAAATTTGAGATCAATGACGTGACATAAATCAGGTCATTTAAAATATTAAAAGGTGAATCATATGATATTTAAAGATTAGTTCTTTTTATTTTTTGAGACTTGTAATATTGTATGTATCAATTAATTTAATGATGTAACTTATACCAAATCATTGGTTTTAATTTTTTTTTCAAATTTTGGTCATCCCTATCATAGGTTGTATAATTGAAAGCAATATTTTCTCATCTCTTAACTTATTCTACTCACATGTTATATGAGTCAAATTCAAAATCTCTTATTTTTATTAAAAAAATTATTATTAAATTATTTAAGTGGTTAACAACCTTAATAACTTTGTTAATTTAAGGGAAAAGAGACAAATTTTCCTATTTAAATAAAAAAATTTTGAGGAAAGAAGAGGGGAGGTGTTTTCCTGTATTTTATTTTATTATTTTACCATAACCAAACCAAGGAAGGGTTGGGGAATGAGGAGGGAAACAAAGGAAACGGAAAGATATTTGTCTCCCTCTTCTCTCTCCCCTCCGTTTTCCTAGAAAATATAAGGGGTAAAAGTTTTAGGGGTGTGCTTTAAGTTTTAAAAAAGGCTAATAATTTGTTGCCTAACTAAATAGATTAAATATTTTATTATTAAATATTTACTATTAAATATATTTGAGCAATTAATTCAAATATTTTATACACTATTTATTCTAAAAAAATTGTCCTCTTTTTATTTAATTAAGGATTAATAATTATTTTAAAATAGAGTGTAAAAATTTGTTAATGGGTGGATTATCATTTATCA